CATTACAGAAGTGTAAACAATTTGGGGAACCTTACAACATTAAAAACATTTCACATTTAAAAAAAAAAAAAACAACAACTTCAGTTTACAGCATAAAAATAATGAATAAATGCAAAAGACTTCAAGACTTCAATGTAATGTTGAGTAAGAGTAATGTTGGAGTTATGTATAGAAAAAAGAAAAGACAAGAAAACAAAAGAAAATATAAAAATAATTTTTTATAGAGACTGTATAGAAGTGTATACAAATTGGAGAAACTTATAAAATCAAATAATTCTTAGTTTCTTTGATTTATAAGAAAAATAAAACCTTTCAATGTACAGAGTAAGAATAATAAATTACAGAAAATACCTTAACAATAACAGTCACATAATCACATAATTTAGCGCTTCATATTTAAAAAGCAATTATTAAAAGTAATTTCATGTCATCAGAAAATTAAACACATTTTACTCCTAATTAATTTCACCTAAGAATTCACCTCGACCGCAGACTTAATTAAACATAATCAGACTGTTTGTCATTTTGTAAAAGGCAGACTCTGCTTGAATCCTGGGAGCTTAAATATTGTTAATTTCCTTTCAGGCACCAGAAAATGTACCAGATAGATTCACTTTATTTTCTGAAGCAACATATTTGAGTTCAAATGTTAAGTCTGTGATATTAAACAGTGGTATTTCTCAAGCACTCCTCTAAAATCTAAAACGATTACATTTACGCATTTTGCAGATGCTCTTATCCAAAGTGACTTCCATTGCATCGTGTTTACATCAGTTTTTGTATTCCCTGGGAGTTGAACCCATGACCTCGGCGTTGCTAGCGCCGATCTCTATCGTTTTAGCTACAGGAATCAAAGAAGAGAAGTGAGAAAATGAAACACGCAGACAAGAAATGAGGAGAGAATAAGAGAAAGGAGCAAATGCGAGAGGACGAGTGGATCGTGAGGGACACACATGGAGCGAATGTGTGGCTTCAGAGTCGCTGCAGGACTCCGACAGGAGGAAGTCTTTCAGGATTGCATCTCCTCAGGCCTGTTCTCTCGGAATCGGGATCAGTATATCATCAGCTTGTCCTGCTTTCCACTGGCTTTGATTGAGCTGCACTGGATGTTTCTGATTACGGCTGAATCATCTGAGTAAATGAGGCGTTCATCTCAGAGAGAGGCTGCATCATCTGGAGAAAATAACGGCATTAGGAGCAGAAGAAACTCTCGCTCTGGGCCTGAAGGAGACGCTGTGTCTTCTTGTGCCAGTGCTGTCTGGGGATGTTTTTCTTTGTTTCTTCTACAGCAGAACTAATAAAACTCAATGTTCTTTTATCGCTCTTGTTAGCGTAACGTTATGAGCGCTAGAGGCGACGCAGGCTCCCAGTCTTGGCCGCACGAACCCGCAAGTCTGCACTTCCAGTTGCTCTTCACCCTTTCGGAAACTCTTTTATTCTTCGTTAAACCCTTTCGTGCTCCCTCGTCTATTTTTCATGCTTCTTTACTTTCTTCAAAAGCAGTCGTTGATTTATATACACTTTTTCTGACATTTTTCTGGGCTACGAGATCAAGCTACGATTATCGAAATTTCATCTTGGTGGCTGAAAATGTTGGAGTACCACTTACAGAAAAGAAAACAAAACAAAAGAAATTCTGTAGAAATTTTTATAGAAATTTATATAAATTGAGGAACCGTATAAAACCTTATTAAAATATAAAAAACTTGCGCAGGAAGAATAAATATCTGCAAAAGACCAAAAGACAAAAACAACCACATAATTACAAAATTTAACTCTCCATTTGAAAAAAACATTTAAACTATTTTTTTTGTCATGACAAAATTAAAATACATTTTATTACTAAATAATTTCACCTAAGAATTCAGTTTGACCACAGGTGTAATAAAAAATAATCAGATCAATTCAATCCTAGCAGCAATATGTGCCTTAAATATAGCTAAAATACAGATAATTTTGCATCACCCACAATAAAATGTAACAGTAAGAAAAGACAGAAAAGAAAAAGAAAAAAAATTCATAAAATTTATTGAAATTTGTACAATTATAATTATACCTATATATTAACAAAGAATTAAGAATGAAGAATTTTTTAAAGAAAAAAAAACAATTTATGGAGTAAAAATAATAAATAATCCTGTACTATAGCAAATAAACAGAAATAGAGGTGTAGAGGTTGCTAACCACCTTTAACCGCCGAAGCGTTTGGTGGTTTTTACGTGACGTCAAAATGGTCACATTGGAGAACTCTGAGCTTTCATGAAACGTTCCCAACTTGTAATTACGAGATCTTCAAAGATGTGAACGCTGTTTACAAGTTGAGAACTCATAATTACGGTAATTCAGAAATGACGGCATGCAATAATGAGTCTGGGTGGGAGTTTTCTGATTTCTTGTCTTTGAATTCAAAATCTGCTGAAAGCTCCAGGACTGATCATGATGTGAAACCTTGTCCATGTGAAACGGCATTTTTGCAAAGTAATATGATGAGAAATTTTTCCTCTACCCATTGAACCTCACTGTTCCTCTATCTATCTATCTATCTATCTATCTATCTATCTATCTATCTTATGACCTTACTCTATCATCCATCCTTCCATCCATCCATCCACCTGTCCATCTATCCATCCGTTTATCTATCTATCCATCCATCCATTCATTCGTCCATCCATCCATCTGTCCATCTATCCATCTGTTTATCTATCTATCCATTCATCCATCCGACTATCCATCCATCCGTCCATCCATCCATCCATTTGTCCATCCATCCATCATATATCCATCCATCCATCATCCATCCTTCCATCTGTCCATCCATCATACATCCTTCCACCCATCAATCCATCATCCATTCTTACATCCATCCATCCATCTATCCATCTATCTGAATATCCATCCATTTGTCCATCAACCCATCTATCCACTCCTCCATCCATCATCCATTCTTACATCCATCTGTCTGTCTGGCTGTCCGTCCGTCCATCCGTCCATCCATCATCCATCATCCATCATCCATCATCCATCTTTCCACCCATCATCTGCCAATCCAACCATCCATCCATCATCCATCCATCCGTCCATCTATCCATCCGACTATCCATCCATTCCTCCATCAATCCATCCTTCCATCTATCCATTCATATGTCCGTCCATCCATCCATCGTTCCATCCATCCGTCTGTGTCCGTCCATCCATCCATCATCCGCCAATCCAACCATCCATCCATTATCCATCCGTCCATCTATCCATCTATCCATCTGACTAGTATCCATCCATTCCACCATCAATTCATCCATCCTTCCATCTATCCATTCGTCCGTCCATCCATCCATCCATCTGACTATCCATCCATTCGTCCATCAATCCATCTATCCACTCATCCATCCATCATCCATTCTTCCATCCATCATCCGCCAATCCAACCATCCATCCATCCGTCCATCTATCCATTTATCCATCTGACTATCCATCCATTCGTCCATCAATCCATCTGCATACCTATCCATCTGTCTATCCATCTTAATCTCTTTCATGTTAAACTACATTTTTCTCATTGACCCCTCAAAACCTGTCTTATAATCTGCTGGGGTTTTATCGCTTCATGCATCATTTGCTCTTTTAACTAGAACAGAAGAATGCATGTCGCTCCTCATTAGGACTGTTAGATTTGTCTGTGAGATTTGAGGATGATCATACCTTTGCAGGTCTTGCGGTCCGACTGTAAGGTGAATCCCACCGGGCAGCTGCAGCGAACTCCAGTCACGGCATCATGACACGTGCTGTCACAGCCTCCGTTATTAACTGCACACGTCTCTGAAAACACACACACACACACACACACACACACACACAACCACACACACACAGAGCAGCAGTCAGGACAGGAACAGCTTAACACATATGTGGATATTAAACCAAATGAACATCTCGTCTTGCACACTCTGGACAGCTTTGATTAGTCTAGTCATGAACGCAGCACATGCAAGCGAGCAGCAAACGTCTGTCGAACACCTTGTTATTGAGTGTATGAGCGTCGCCCAACAGGGGGGTTTAGAGTTCAGCATTCAGCTAAAGCATCTGTTAAACAGCAGATTAAAATTTCACAATGACCATGACACTGCATTATAAATATGCATAAACTTGAACTTTGTTAAACTTTGTTGCATCAGCAAGTCTCAAATCACCAACTCTCATTAAAAATAAAATGTCTTCCAGTCACTTTGTACAAATAAACCACCCCTTTAAATGGTAACAACAACAATAATTAATAATAACAACAATAACAAAAACAACAATAATTAATAATATCAACAACAATAATAACAATAATAATAATATTAATAATAATAATTTATTTATTTACTTGTTACTTTCAGGGTTTGGGGTAGTCAATAAAGACAACAATGCCTGAAATGCCTGAATAAAAAACCTATTATAAATATTGATGCTTATAAATAAATAAACATTATTATTTAATTTTATTATTTAATTTAATTGTATTATTATTATTATTAGTAATAATAATAATAACACTACATAAATAAATAAATAAATAAACATTATTGTTTAATTTTATTTATTTTAATTGTATTAATACATTAACAACTAAAAACAATTATCTATATCTATATATAATCTATTATATATGATGCTTGTAAAGAAATAGATTAATAATAGTAATAATAATAATAATTATTATTATTAATATTATTATTACTAATTCTACTTGGTACTTTTAGGATTTGGGGTAGTAAGTGAGTAAGTAAATACATACATACATACATAATGTTGTTGTTATTGTTATTATTATTATTATTCATTTATTAGTGTTTGGCATAGTCGCAATACATGAAAAACTAAAAAATGACTATTTTAATCTACTGTATAGTGATATTAATAAATAAAAAAGGAACACAAAAAAATGTTTTCTTTCCTTATACTGCTCGCTTAATAATCTAAGCACAATAACTGTCATGAATAAGGGTTTACCACAAAGCTCTGCTGGCATTCATCAGAACAACTTTATAAAAGAGACAGAGAGCGAGCGAGATGTTGGAGGTGTGTGCCAGGGTGCAGGTCTGTGTCACAACACGCCTCCGAAACGCTTCGAGATTCACAAACTGCATCCATCTCTGATTATAACGCTTGACATCTACAGATTTGAGAGCTGGAACACGCTCGCACACAAAACACTCGCCTTTGTGAGGGGAAATTCTCTCATCTGAAAAGATTTGATTCAGCTGTGTGAATGGATATAAATATAATCTTTTGATAGAGGAGATGATAAGCGGTGTCTGATTCACTGGGAGACACCTGTGAGCTTACTGAAGCACGCTTTCCACTAAACTAATGATCCGTGCAGTGAGCAGAGTTAACCATCAAAGCAAAACTCTCGTGTTATTCAGCCGACTGTCTGAAGCAGTCCTCTTTCACGGGTCAACGATACGCTGAATGACATCAGTTCAACATTCAACTGATCCTCTGACATAGTAAATCACTCTAATCAGTTTAACTACATGATTCGATTGTATTAAAACAGCTTACATTAAAACAACCTTACATTTTAATACTTTAAAATTAAAATAATATGAAATATAAAAAAAATAATAATTTAACAATAAATAAATACTGGACAAAGTTGTGCAGAATATCTTGCAGTAAATCACTGTAATCAGTTTTACCATGAAATTATTAATTAACATTAAAACAGCTCATAATCACATTTCAATGCTCTTAAAACATATTCACAATATTTAAAAAATAATAATAATTTAACATCCATCCATCCATACATACATACATACATACATAAATAAATATTTAAATATAAACATTAATAAATACTCTGAAGAATATCTCAAATCACTTTGATCAGTTTTCCATAAAATTATTTATTAACATTAAAACAGCTCATAATTACACACACCTCATGATCTTATATTTTAATACTATTAAAATAAAATTCAAAATATAAAAAACAATTAAAAAAAATAATAATTTAACTAAAAACTAAACATTTAAATAAAACAAACAAAAAAATATATATAATCATTAAATTCTCTTAATAAAGCTCTGCAGAATAACTCTGTTTTTATTTTAACCGGCTAGCAACCACTCAGAAGCAGATTAGCAAATACTGGGAAGGTTTTCAGGCCAACTCCAACATTACAGCAGCATATTTTTCATGGACACGCGCCATTTAAATGCTCTTAACAAAATATAAAACTACAGCTTTAGGACCAAAGCAGACCTCATCGAGATACAATTATCATTTCAGCTTTACAGTAGTTTCAGATTGATGTCTGCTGCCAAAGATATCAGGCTCCTCTTGCAGGAGAGAGCTACAAATAAACTATGTTAAGACCTTCTCTGCAGACTTCAAACATCAAGCATCTAACACCATCCTCAGGCAACATAGACGAAGCAGCTGCTGGTTTTTGAGGCACCTGTGCATGCCGAGACCCGTTCAAACCCCTTTTCACTTGTGTCAGAAACACTCAAATGAACGACTCGGCTTTGGTCACATCCCAACACTTAATGCAACCCTCTTTCTATATGACACTCTTTGAGAAGAGTTAAATGTTAAAAGTGGGAAAACGCACTCATTAACTAGTACCCAGCAGGCCCGTTGCTAATGTAAAACCACCTCCAAGGAAAATTCAGGGAGAAGGATTTTCTACCGAGGCAAAATTCTAGACTGCTCTCAATTAACTGCAATTAGGTCATCTAATGGCTTCCCAGGAGATTGGATCACCTCACCTGCCCTTGTTCTTGCCATTCCGACTGAAACTTTAACCGAATAAGACAGTTGTTAAAAAAAGAAAGTCTCCGTCTGATTTGCATGTGTATTTTGTGTAATAATACATGTAAACCCCAGACTCCGTTGGCATGTTTGTACCGCCATCACTGTAATTGGACGTTTCACCTTACTTAAGCAAAACCATCCACCGCCATTCAGCTAGTGCTCAGGAATCCGCTCACAATTGTAAATGTTGCCACAATCAGTTACTGAAAAGGTTGGAACAAGTCGGGAACATGCCGCCAGAGGTAGAGCTATTTGGTAAATATGACAGCTGTTGGCACCGGTCTCTCTCAACCTCAACCAAACACATCGGTCCCCATTAAATCCACTCTGATGTTAACAGGTTGACATGCAAACAAGCTCGTTTTTCAAAAATGCCAATGCTTTCCAAGTCGAGAAAATAGCATGAGCTGACAGAAAGAGAACCAAAGTGAGACGCGTTTTTGGTACTGGGACAAAGGTTGTCCTTGGACATTGGTGTATTTGCTGTGTGCTTATTTCAGGCCGAATAAACAAAATCCCAAGACAAGTGCATTTTACCAATAGCCAGAATGAAGATTTAGTGCCAAACCGATGAGTCTCATTTATAATCTCAGAGCTTGTGCAATCAAAAGTGTGCACCCAAAAACAAACGCTTTCACAATTTGAAGTCATGCGTGAGGCACATTGAAAAACGAAGTACGGTGACATGTTATAGCAAGTCCAATTGAATTCCATTGCAAAAATTTAGCCCAGGTCACAGTTTTGGGCCAAACCTGACCCATTTTTCTCATAGCAGAGACTTCATTGTTAAAACCTCATTAAACTTGCTGGTTACACTTTATTTCGATAGTCCACTTTAGACATTCTATTAACTATAAGTAACTTTGTAACTACATGTCAACTACATGTCAACTAATTCTCATTAATTTGCAACTACATGTCTACTAACTCTCAGAGTAGACTGTTAGGGTAGGTTTAGGGTTAGTAGAATAAGTTGACAAAGAAAGTGTTAGAAGATATTAAGCAGACAGTCTACTAATACTCTACTAACTGCTAGTTGACATGTAGTTGCAAAGTTACTTACTGTTAATAGCAGAGGTGGGACCAAGTCATTGTTTGCAAGTCACAAGTAAGTCTCGAGTCTTTGCATTCAAGTCTCGGTCTCAAGTCTTCTTTAATTATGTCGAGTGGAGTCGCAAGTCATCAAATTTGGGACTCGAGTCCACACCCCTGGTTAATAGAATGTCTAAAGTGGACTATCGAAATAGTGTTACCAACTTGCTTCCTTAGAGAATGGGTGGTTTCCAGTGAAAACGTTGCAAGAAAAGTTTCATTCAGACAATTCAAGAGGAAAACCATTTTAATGGGGGTAAATTGCATTGTGATGATCTCCTGACTTGCCAGAATGGAGAAATTTGCCAAGAATTGGTGCAAATGTTGAATTTGGTGCGATAAAGGTTAATAAGAATTCCAACATTACCACGTCCACTACTAAAAGAAGTAGCTAATAGAAAGCAAGCTAGATAAAACTGACTTACTTTCAAAATTGTAAACAATTTTAATGGGGGTAAATTACATTGTGATGATATCCTGACTTGCCAGAATGGAGAAATTTGCCAAGAACTGGTACAAATGTTGAATTTGGTGCAATAAAGGTTAGTAAGAATTCCAGCATTACCACGTCCACTACTAAAAGAAGTAGCTAATAGAAAACAAGCTAGATAAAACTGACTTGTTTTCAAAATGGTAAACCATTTTAATGGGGGTAAATTGCATTGTGATGATCTCCTGACTTGCCAGAATGGAGAAATTTGCCAAGAATTGGTGCAAATGTTGAATTTGGTGCGATAAAGGTTAGTAAGAATTCCAACATTACCACGTCCACTACTAAAAGAAGTAGCTAATAGAAAACAAGCTAGATAAAACGGACTTGTTTTCAAAATGGTAAACCATTTTAATGGGGGTAAATTGCATTGTGATGATCTCCTGACTTGCCAGAATGGAGAAATTTGCCAAGAATTGGTGCAAATGTTGAATTTGGTGCGATAAAGGTTAATAAGAATTCCAACATTACCACGTCCACTACTAAAAGAAGTAGCTAATAGAAAGCAAGCTAGATAAAACTGACTTACTTTCAAAATTGTAAACAATTTTAATGGGGGTAAATTGCATTGTGATGATATCCTGACTTGCCAGAATGGAGAAATTTGCCAAGAATTTGTGGAAATGTTGAGATCCAGCATAACCATGCCAATTTTAATGGGAGAAAATGGCATTGTGGTGATCTCCTGACTTGCCAGAATGGAGAAACTGGCCAAGAATTAGTGCAATAAAGGTTAGTAAGGGTTCCAGCATAACCACATCCACTATGAAAAGACACAGCCAATAGGAATTAACCTAGAGAAATGTTCATATTTACCATTGGGTAAACCATTTTAATGGGGGTAAATGACATTGTGGTGGCCTCCTGACTTGCAAGAATTAAGAAACTGGTCAATAATTGGTGAAAATGTTGAAATTGGTGCGATAATGGTTAGTAAAAGTTTCAGCATAACCACAACCACTATTGAAAGAAGTAGCCAATATGAAGCAATCTAGAGAAAATTACTTATTTACCATTAGGTAAACCATTTTATTTGGAGTAAATGGCATTGTAGTGATCTCCTGACTTGCCGGAATGGATCAATTGGGCAAGAATTGGTGAAACTGGTGTAATAAAGATTCTAGCAAAACTACGCCCACAATTAAAAGATGTAGCTAATAGAAAGCAAGATAAAGTAACTGACTTATTTTCCAAATGGTAAACCATTTTAATGGTGGTAAATTGCATTTTGTTTATCTCCTGCAAATGTTGAAATTGGTGCGATAAAGGTTCGTAAGAGTTCCGGCATAAACACGCCCACTACTGAAAGAAGTAGGAAGCAAGTTAGAGAAATTGGCTTATTTACCAATGGATTAACCATTTTAATGGGAGTAAATGGCATTGTGGTGATCTCCTGACTTGCCAGAATGGAGAAACTGGCCAATAATTGGTGATCTCCTGACTTGCCAGAATGGAGAAACTGGCCAAGAATTAGTGCAATAAAGGTTAGTAAGGATTCCAGCATAACCACATCCACTATGAAAAGAAGTAGCCAATAGGAATTAACCTAGAGAAATGTTCATATTTACCATTGGGTAAACCATTTTAACGGGGGTAAATGACATTGTGGTGGCCTCCTGACTTGCAAGAATGAAGAAACTGGTCAATAATTGGTGAAAATGTTGAAATTGGTGCGATAATGGTTAGTAAATGTTTCAGCATAACCACACCCACTATTGAAAGAAGTAGCCAATATGAAGCAAGCTAGAGAAACTGACTTATTTACCTTTGGGTAAACCATATTAATGGGGGTAATTTGCTTTGTGATGATCTCCTGACTTGCCAGAATAGAGAAGTTAGCCAAGAATTGGTGCAATTGGTGCGATAAAGGTTAGTAAGAGTTTCAGCATAACCACGCCCACTATTGAAAGAAGTAGCCAATAGGAATCAAGCTAGAGAAATGGTCATATTTACCATTGGGTAACAGCTCTGGCTGCAGTGGCTGATGAGGGGTACTTCTTTCCTCTGCACACACACACACACACACACACATTACAAAAACACTGCTTAGTCTTCCAAGATTGACTTTATAAACTGTATAAAACACCCTGGCCAGTCAAATTAGTTTTTAGTTGCCCTAGTACTCATAATGACCCTTTTATGAGGCTACAGGAGCAACTGAGTTCATAAACTCCCTGTCAAAAGGCCAGCTTAAACCAACCCAAGGTTGTGTACTGATTGTAGTTGGTTTAAGCTGGTTTAGAGCCCCTTAAACCGTCAAACTAGGTGAGCCTGAGCAGTCCAACATGATGTTTAACACGGTGTTAAATCAGTTTCGTACACTTTCGTACAGAGAGCAACAAGGCAGAGTGTTAGTCTTCTCATGCATCGACAAGACAACACTCTCAACACAGAGCAGATAGATGCAGACCAGTTAGTGTAAGAGAGTTTGACTACAACCTTCAGGGTAAACATTCGAAATGAGCAGGAAGGCGTGAATTGGTGTCATACAGAGATAAACTGTGGCAATGATTCCCACTGCAGTTCATCTAAGACATTCAATCACTTACCTGCGCTGTGACTTCTCAGTTTAACTGAAAACTACCAAATAACAAAGCCCATTGAACTGAACTGCTTATGAAACAAATGGTTTTAACAATATGATGCCTGGGGATTGTGTGTACCAGCCAGATGTGAGCATCTGTTTCAGATTAGCATCTCTCTCAGGCTAAGAATCTCCACAACCCTTTTGTTTGCTAAGTGTCTTACTTCTGCGGAAATGTTCGTGCAAATCTGCTGGCTTATGCGGAGGGCTTGGGTATGTCGTTTGATTATAGGATCGCATGAAGATGCCTGGACCCATGTGGAAAAACACTTAGCGGTTAGGTGTTAGCTGTTAGCGTTTTCACATTCTGTTTGGATATATTAAGAGTGAATTCCACTGGAAAGTGAGCATCACTTACTACTTGCTACGAAGAGAAAGGTTCAAGGCATAACTACTATAGATGACTGTTTCCACAAAACTGTTTTCAACATTGCTAAAAAATCAGCATATTAGAATGATTTCTGAAGGAGCATGAGACACTGAAGACTGGAGTAATGATGCTGAAAATTCAGCTTTGATCACGGAAATTAATTATATTTTAAAATATATTCAAATATTAAAGTTATTTGAAATTGTAATAACTTTTCACAATATTACTGTTTTACTGTATTTTCTAACAAATAAATGCAGCCTTGCTGAGCACAAAAGATTTCCCTAAAAATACATAAAAAAATCTTAATGATTCCAAACTTTTGAGTGCAATTCAAATGATTTCAAATAGTACAATATACTGATTTGATCTGTCTACAAAGAGCACCATTATCCATTGACGACCATTAAAAAGTAGTTGTGCTTTCTGACTGCATAAATTGTGTGCAAATAACATTAAAACCTCAAATATATAATTATATTATTGTATTTACCAGCACCCAATTTCGTCACCAATTAGCAAAGTCGCTAATTGGAGCGTGTATGACTGAAACTGCCATTGAGATGAATGGGAATGCTAACGCATTGCTCTCTTCAGGTATTTTTTGTCAATACTTGTGGATGTGTGATAGTGTTGGTTTTATTGCCATCCCTTCCGCTCATTGTGCGGTTTCAAACCAAACCTGTTTGGCAAAGCGAAACGTCAGTGACAGATTGAGAAGGCTGAAAGCCGTATAAAGTGCAAAAGTAATCAGAGCGACCGAAATCCATCCCCACTGGAGAAAAGCAGTCAATGAGGATGAAGAGAGAGGGTTAGAGAATAGATGAAGTAGCTCAAGGAACACAAAAGCCACCCAGTGAGATCAGAGTGATTGATTTTACTCTACCAATGTGCCATTGCGAGATTAAAGTCCGAGAGCTATTCCGCAGAGCCGTGAATCAAAGGATGTTCGGTTAAAAAAATGAGCAAAGATCACTTAGAAGCTATTCTGAGCTAAATTGCTCATAAGGATCCTATTGTATTAATGAGGTCTGACAAACGAAAATACAGACTATCTGATTCATTGATGTAAATGCTAAGCTATTTCTGCCGTCGGGGCGAATCCAACCAGAGATGCTAAAGTGTTGGTCAGACTCCAGTCACTGACCAAATCACTGCAATGGCATCTGAAAATGTCTTTAACACATGCTACGTCTGGTCCTCTGAACTGTTTCTTTCTTAATATGCTGTAAACAAAGCGAGGGGGAAAAACACAGTGAGATGGCAAGACTTAAAAAGAATGAAAAATGAAAGCTTTCTTTCAAGTTTCTTCAACTTGGACAGTTTTGACCATGTGGACTTTTAGAAAATCAACTCTCTAAAATACACTCTGACTAGCTGAAGGTGAAGTATCACCAACTAGGAAGAATTCTTATTTTCTTCTAATTCTTAGTCCTTTTGTTGCTATAATACATTTAAATGAAATTGATAATAGATCTAAAAAATACATTTGAAAAAAATCTAATAAATTCACAACAATATTTATATTATTTACACATATTTACAATATACAAATATTTTGATGATGTTTAATAACTGTAATACTGTTATTAATTATATTTTAATTTTAAATAATTATTTAATAATTAGTAGTAGTATTATT